TGTTGAGAGTATTGACACCTCAGAAATCTGCAAATACTTCAAATCAGCCTCCCACCCAGAGTTGGTTGCTAAACACTCACCAGCGCATTGCAGCTCCTAATTAACCTCCACCTGCCCATCTTGCTGTGCTAACTAACCAGTGTTCTTTTCTTCTACCCACTGACCAGTGCCCTCAGGCTTCTGAGGCTCACAGCTGTTCCAATCAGGGAAATTGCATGCTTATCAAGAGCCAATTACACTTGTCCCAAACCTGTTCATGCAAACTATATTTGTTATAGCAATTATGGAATTAGGTAAATATTGCAGTACTGATGGAGTATGAGTAGGAAAGTAATAGAGTTGTCATTTCCATGGAAATTAAGTTAAATGCTTGGGAAAGACTTAATAAAGGCAAATTGCTTAAAAACTGCTGTCAAATTGAGTGCAGGCAAAGCAACTATAAAATTTTAGGAAAGATTAAATAAGTCTGGAAGGATTTTGAGTTTCAGTTGCTCTGAAGTGTCTTTAAGTTCTTGTTCCCCTTCAAGTAAATAAAATGGCGATTTGGAAATCAGACGGAACTCTGAGCGTGTGCCCCCAAAACCAGGGCCCAGCTGCACGTTTTGAAGTTACTCTATGGTACTGCGTGTGTGCGTGCGTCATCGCTCATGATTCCACATTGGGTCAACTTGTTGAGGTCTGGGTCAGCTGACCCAGTCCTGTTGGGTGAGAGGTTTCTATTGCCACCTTACTGTGACTTCATTTGAGGCAGATTTAGCAGATGCTCTCAACTCTGCTGTCATAGGGTTTCTACTTGTCCCATGCGTGATTCCAGCTGACACAGCTTTGCTAGTTTTTCAGTCCTCTGCTTTTCTACTCTCCACCATTCCTAGTTCACCCCCACCTTTTCTCCCCTCCCCAAATGCCTCCTTCTGCATGGCCCACTGCCCATCCCATGACAGGTTAGCTCCACCTTATTCTTTCAAAAAAAATTTCAGTGGTCACTTTCTTCATGAAATTTATCCTGATCTCCTGGCCTGAGTAGTTACATCATCCTTCCATCCTCAGATGATTTGGTCTGTGTCTCTGTCTTTTATGTGGAAAAACACCATAAAACTGGGGATCTGGAAGGGACCTTAGCGATGCTGGCATCTACTTCCCTAAATTTTGTAGGTGAGAACACAAGGCCAGAGTTCTGGAATGACTAGTTCAAGATGACCCAGGCAGGGAATACAACAGGGAGCAAGCTGAGGGTGTGAGTGACACCACGCACCGCCGCTGGTCTTCTCTTGACATGTGGTACAAGTTCTACATTTTAAGATTAGATTTACTTGATTCGATCCTAGAGGCACTGTTTCTAAAAATCGTTCATATTGGAAGGCACTATGTAGTCACTGGAGATGACTGGCAAAATACAACATGATCTGAAGATGAAAGTAAGAGCTTCCATCCATCTTGCCCTTCAGATAAGGACTTTTAGCATTTAGGATCATTTCCTTCAGATTGAGTTGAAAGAAAAAGAAATCAAACAAACTAGCATTATCATTGAAAAAAAAATGCTTGAAGAAGGACTTGCTTTTTGAGAATAAAGAAGCTGAGTATTCCAGATGGTCTCTGATTCCTACCGACTTCCCAGTCACTCAGGAAATGAGAATCAGCTGGGGCAGACCCTGTACTCGACACTAGGGGTTCAGACACTAGGGGTTACATATTGCAGGTGCCTGCTCTTGAATGTTTCAGAATCTAGTAGAAGAACTAGGCATAAAAACATAATCACAATGCAGGCTGACTACAGAGAGATGAGCAATCTAAGACAGTATGTAATTACACGCAACATTACAGGACATGGATTTTATGGTCTGTAATAGTGGACTGTGCTAGTTTATAATTTCTGTTATCCAACCAAAGGCCACATAACAATGAGCAGGGAAACTTTCTTTAAAGGTGATTGTTCATAAAGAGGAAGTAATTGGAATTGCACAAAGCAGTAATTACGAAAGCAGGAAAGGTTACTATGGTGTGTTTTATAACTGTAATCAAAAAAATTGCAGGAGGACTTAAAAAATGTTCCATTAATTAATACCATTAAAGGTTACTGTCTGAGATGAAAGATAGATGAACTCAAAATCACACCTAATGAGAAATTTGAGGGATTTGAAGTTGGTGTTGTCAAGCTGGCATCCTCGGGGATCAAATGCCACTTGTCTCTGTCTGCTGTCTATACCGTAGGACTCAATCATGATCCTTGGTTTTGTGGTGATTGTAAAGATCACATGCTACGCCCTTTTGTTATTAAGAGTGATCTTTTGCATTATTGAGCACTTTAAAATATTCACAAGACTTGGGCAATTGTTCCACTAGCCTTGTTTTTATTTTAACCTGTCAGGTCAGTTTTTCTTGAATGTGACACCTTTTGCCATGTGGAAGAGCTGGAGCCCTGTCAGAGGAGGTTGTCAACATGATGGAAGTGAACAGGGACAAGAATGACGAGAGGAACCAGTGTAGGTGGGAGCGTGGGCGCGTGGTCCCTCAGGACAGCGCAGTTTCAAATGCCGCCCTGCTTCTGGGGATGATAACAGAATAATTGGCCTTGCCACATCTCTCTGAGGCACTGGGAGTGCATTTCTATTTCTGCAGCCGTAACCTGGAGAATCTCCTGCTGTGAATATAAGGGTCTTTCCTTTGCTGAAGAGCACCAGCTTGTTCTTGGGGGAAACATCATTCTGCCCAGCAAGATGGAGGTGGGTCCATTGGGTGGCCTGGGCTTTGCTGTGGGTGAATCACTTCCCTAGTCCCTTTCTTCAGCACACCCCCCCCCTTCACCCCCTGCAAAGTGAACAGCCACAGGTCTCTCATGCAGGCTGCAATGTGTTGTCTAGGCCCTTCATAAAGTGGCCCCATCAGTACCAGGAGAGACGGGGCAGGGCTTCGTGGCCATCTGCTTTGTGGGCATCCTTTCTGTCACTGTGTAGTGCTGGTGGCCATGGAAAGTGGGTGTGATGCCATTTGTTTGAGAGATATTTACAGATGAGACTTTCTGGGCCAGTTTCTTGATGGAGTTTTTTTTGGTAATATCACAATACCCTGGGAGGCTCACCCTTTGTTTTACCTCCTTTGAGAGTAAGTGAATGAAAAGAGACGCCTGGTTCTTACTCGTGGCTCACCCCAAGCCTTTGACTTTGGCTCCATGCAAAACAAGGCTTCCAGGGTAAGGAGGCTGTGGGCTCAGGGGCTGGAGCAAAGTCGACCCCAGGACCGCAGGCCTCCTCCCGGGCTGCAACGACAGGCTTGCTTCTCTTCTCCCAGGCGCTCTGACACGAGGGGTGTCTGGACTCCACTCCTGCGTTCTCCAGGGCTGTGGGCCCCGGGCAGGGGAACTTGCAAACATGCTCAGAGGCCCTTTGAAGGGCCACACAGGGTTCACGGTGCCTGCAGAGACAAGGTGAGCAAGCGCTATTTCCAACCACTTAGCCAGTCCTTTGCTGCTACATGCTTGGCTGGCTTTGCTTTTAGCCCATTGGGGTACATCAATCAAATGTTGTTTATGTGGTCAGAGCTTGGTGCTCTGGGCTTTAGTCGCCTGCTGCTGCTATTGCTTTGGTTCTGAATTTGTTCTCTCTATTTTAGGCTGTGGAAACAGCCCTCTGACTTTGCTCCGCTTCAGTCTTGCCTCCCTTACCCTCCTCCCCAGCCATGCTTGTCATTGCTGTCTGCAGAGCTGCTGAGCTCCCCCCAGGGGCCCTGCTCACATTATATGCTGTGGAACTTTGGGGGCACCGCTGACTGAAGAGATGATGTGAAGAGAGCTCTCTGGAGTCTCACAGCGCAGCTGGGACTGACTGACAGACTGAATTTTCTAAAATATCACTCTTCCCTATTAATCCTTCTTTATAAGGCCTTACAAAGGCTCCCCAATGTCTGCAAGACTCAACCCAAATCCTTAGCTTGTCAAGACTTCCAGAGCTGACTCTTGTAGCTGCTCCATCATCTCTGTCTTTTCAGCTCCCTCAAGCTTGCGTTCAGCCACCTCAAATTCTTTGCAACTTCTAGATACTGATAGCTGTGAATGTCTTTTCCTGCCTTGCATGTGTCACCTTTTCTCAATCCCTCAAGACCTTCTTTACCTTCTCACAGAGCTTGTAATGTCATCTAAGTGTATCTCCAAAGTAGTACTGTACGCCCATGCTTGCACACCTGATTTTTTATTGCACTGTGACATCCTGGTGAGAGGAGACGATGTCTTATTCATCACTGTATCCTCTGGGTCTGCAAAATATGGAATCTAAAGTCAGAATAATAATTATTTGAGGAAGAAATGAATGGCGTGCAATAACCAGAGACCGCCAGGATCTCAGAGTCTACCCAGAGACACGTTATGCACCTGGGAGGACAGCCTTACTTGGGGAGACATCACACACCTGGGGAGATGTGACATACCTGGAGAAACCTTACACCTGGGGGACATTTCACACCTGGGGAGTTGTTGTTATAGGACATTTGCACTTTGTGCTGTGACTGTGGACCCAACGTTACTCAAAAAGGGAATAAATAATACAGGCGGGTATATTCAGGGATTCTTTCCTGTGAGTCTAGAACTCAAAGGACCTCAGGAACCACTTTGCTCTCTTGTCCCATCCACAGATGAAGAATCTGAGGTCCTGGGAGAGAAAGAGAATGCTTGGGGTTACATTGAGAGTTGGTTGCAAAGTAAGCAATAACATCTAGCCCCCTTGATTCCCAGTCCAGGGTTTATAAAGAAAACTCATCAAACAGGCATTTTGATGTTTTCCTGTAAATAATTTAGGAGGAGGGGAATAAAACACAACAGAATTTTGTTACTAAATATTGATGCTGTAGCTGCTACTTAGAGAAGATTGCATGTGATGTTTTCAATTAGATTCTCTTTATCTGCCTTTAGAAGCTACTTTAAAAAAAAAAAAAAAGACAAGATTGTAGTGCGTTATTAACACTGACAGCTCCAGTATGCACATTGTGCTTCTGAAGGCATCAGGGGGAGATACCGATCTATCAGCATAATCCTCACAAGGAGCATTGCGCTGATTTCAGACGAGATGGACAGAAACTGCTGTCTTGGCGCTGCAGAGGAAACATCCGCATGTGCTTCGAAGTGGGTGTTCACTCCATCTGCTCTCCGGGTTGTCTGCACCGCCAGAACAATGGGGAGCATGTGCATGGAGAGCCGGCTGCAAGGTGGGGAGAGCGGGGATTTCTGGTGGCGGGGCCAGCAAAGCCTGTCTTTGCAGAGGGGCTCGGGGCTCGGGTTATCATGGGCTCTGCGTCGCTCGCCAGGAAGAATGCCATCTAATGCACCTGGCGCTTCCTATGGGATTAAATCATGTGCAGGATGTAGCAGGTATTCTTGGATTCCTCACCACAACCCTGCTAGCTAAGAGCTATTCCTTCCCAGTAACAGAGAGTGTTAACCCCCAAGATCTGTATTGCTGGTATTTGCGCCCTTGCTCATCCCTGGCCTGTGAAGTGATGGGTGACCTTTCTGTGGTGAGATGGCTAACGGAGAATGCAGACTGAAAGAAAGGGAAATTAGCAAGGTAGGGTTGACTAATCACCTTAATAATTAAATAAACAAAAAATCTGGGTGTAGAGTCGGAGACAGGTGAATTCCAAGAGACAACGTATGGGAGGGAGTCGAAGGGAGGAAACCTTTGCTGGCTTTGCAGACAGAGGGCCACAGGCAGGAGAGAGCTGACACGTTTTCTAGCAGCTGAGAGTGACTCTTGTGGGGGATGAGAAGAAGACAGGAATTGTGCAATGTCCTCGAGTGGTAACAGGCTGGGTTTGCTAACAGTGTGAATGGACAAGCAAATGGCCGTTGAGCCTCTGATGAGGACACAGCCTCTGTTCCTTTGATTCTGGGAGACCCTGGGCAGAGAAGGTAGCCATGCTGTACCCGGAATTGCTGACCCACAGAACTTGAGCCCACACCATGTGTGATGCCTCAAGGGCTAGGTGGTAACGTGTTACCCAGCATAGCACGGTAATAGCAACATATTCTCATCTTGTAGATGAAAACCCGAAGCCAGGTTTACACAGCAGAGAGGTGAAAGGGTGGGGTTTGAAACCAGGGCATCGACTTGACATCTAAGTCAATGGTCTAAAATAGAATTGTGATTCTCAATTCAGCATGTGGGGAGCTTGCTCAAAAGCAGTTTGGGGGTAGTATGGGTGTAGTGGAGGCTCTCTGTCCTTGGGGTTGGGAGAACTCTGAAGCTGCTGGTGGTGAGGATGGAAACCCTGTGCTTCCTGCCTTCGTGTGCAGAAAAGATGGGGCTGGTGGAACAGTACCTGGAAAATGGGCTTCTTTGGAGGGAGGGTGCTCCTCCAGCAGGTGTGAACACAGCAGGTCTAGGCACACCAAGGACTGGGAATGTCCCTTGGCCTGCGGTTCACAAACTTGACTGTATGTTAGAATCACCTGGAGAGCTTTTACAAATCCTGAGATGCAGATCACATCCTTGACCAAGACCTTCCAAATCCCTGGGAGTGGTGCCAGGGCAGCAAAACTTCTTAAATATCAGGGGTGAAGCCAACATGTAGCCAACATGTAGATGGATTCCAAAGTCAACTTGGGCAGAAAACTGCAGAGGTGTGGAGGGACTAGCAGCTGAGATGGGGGGTTGGTTCTTCTGGACTTTTGATGTTCCAGACCTGGTGGTTCCTGGACATCCAGTCAGTCTTATGATGTTAGTTTCCAAATTTTCAATAATTGTGCTGACTTTTATGCTCCAGGGGATGGAGTTTGAAGTTCTCAGTGTGGTGGAGCAGGGCTGTTTAGCCAGCGTGGAGCAATCACAGCCACAGTCCAGCTGCTTCTAGCTGGTTCAGGGACACGAGCAGGGGCTTCTCATACGTGAGTACACCTCAGTCACCCAGAAGCCTTGATGAAATGCAGACTTCTGGCTATACCACTATGGGATCTGACTCTTAGGTCTGGATGGAGCCTATGTGTTTAGATGCCTAACAGGTTCCTAAGTGTGGCCGGTCAGGGGAACTCACACTTAGAGGACTACTATTTGGAACTCTGGGATTGAAACCAGACCATCACTGACAAGCACCAGCTCTTGGGGTGATCCCTGTGGGTCCATTTTATCTTTTCCTGAATGAGCATGGTCATTTACAGTGTGTGGTGTGGATATAGTGGGACTACCCTGCAGAAAGTCAGCACAGATAAGATCTCAGTGATGTTAACTATTACCTTGGTCATGGTTCTTCTCTTGGCATGATTTTCAGCGAGCCATTCATGATAGTCTGAGAAAAGGAACAAAAAAAGAAAAAGAAGCAAATGTATTGACTTCCTTCACGGACTGGCCAGGGGCTGAGGTTGCTTTGGTTCCAGAGATCTCATCTCCATCTTTCTGCCTTCTCCAGGTGAGCTTTTCATCCTCCTTACTTGGGGATGAGGATGCCCATGGCAGGTGTAGGCTGCTGTCATCTTTATAGCTACCATCCGAGACTTTTCCTAGCACATCACTTCTGTGGGGCTACACTCTGCATTTTTGAGGTGTTTTGGGGCTTGGATGCAGGAGTTAACACTTATTTCATCTCACTTTTATCACATCATGCTTCATTTCTATCCCTGATCTCTTTAAATCTTTCTAGTTCTAGTATATCGATATTGTTCTAGATTTTTCCTCCTCACGGCATCCACAGACATAGATGCAAGTTTTATGGATGCAAAGTTCACTGATGTAAACACCAAACATTTCAAAACCTTATGACAAGTCACAGACAATCTCTTGCCCAACTCACTGACAGTAAACTGAAGAGAGCCGTTGTCCAGTGCCTCTTCACATCAAAACTCTTTGCAGTAGCACTTCTGCCTTAGCCAGTATGGTCATGTAGGTAGAGGAGAAATGTGGAACATCTGCATTGGTCTTTCAGGAGCCAAACAGATTGTTGTTGTTACCGCACCCTGAGTGCCCACAAATCACTATTCTAAACTAGTAGTTTCCTAGGGGTCATGGTAGCACAGTTTTCTGGAGTTTGGATTCTACCTTCTAGTTTTTGGAACTGAGGCTTGCACATGCCCATCTGCAGGGGCCTGGGGCTCTGCTGGTCATCAGTGTTAGGAACAAAAGGAGGTGACATGTGCAGAGCAAAAGCCACATGCTTCACATGGGGTTAGGCTTTTCACAGGTACTATCTTTCTGGATCTTCTATCATTGTCCTTTGTCTTAGAAGAGGACACATTTTCTGAGAAAATTTGAACATTAAATAACTCAGGTCATATTCCCAAAGATTAAGTGACACGCCCGTTTTCACAAATGAGCAAATGTTTGAAGTGTCCAATGTAATAGAGATTTAATAAATTGAGAGCTGATGAAGTCACTTGCATTTTTCAAGGTGTCCTTGGTTGCCTTTGAGAGAGCATTACAAGAGTGTTTGGCTAGAAGGCATCTTGGGGCTTTAGGAAGTGGGTAGAAACTAAAGATAAAGGAAAAGACTGCATTTGAAGTGTTTTGTCACACATGAAGGAAGGTGATTGGCTGAGAACCAGAAACAGGGAAGAGTCAAAGGACTTCTAAAAGTCTGTGGGAGATTATGTATACACAAGCCTCTTTTGCCATACCTGACACACAGTAGGTCTTCATTAATGTGATTTGTTTGGAAAGTGGGAGAATCGATCATTATCTGAAAGCTGAAGAGAATTGTTGAAAGGAAGGGAATTAGAGGCTGAAAAAAGAAAAAAAAACGGAGGAAGTACAGCTCAAAACAAGATAGGATGGATGTGATTTGGAGTACAGGTAGAAAAGATAATTGTAAAGAACAAAGAACTTTCAGGACTGGAAGCAAGAAAGAAACGTGAGAAAGGAAAGTAACACCATTAAGGAGCTATCTCATGCCAAGAACTTCACAACAGTACGTTTACAGACTGTGTCCATTTCACAGGCAGAAAAAATGAAGTGGAGGAGGGTTCGGGAACTAACAGGGAATGTCAGGATCGAATGACCTGGCAGGCTGGTGAAAGCCAGGACTTTGCACCGCCCAACAAATGCTATGGGAGGAGTGTGCCCCCGGGTGTGCTCGGAGGGTGTGCAGGCCCCGGGGAGTGGCTGGGCTGTCCCCTTCCTCAAACTGGAACTTTTGAGAATGTTGGTTTACATCGAGATTTTGGAGATAGACTGGAATGACTGGTCAGCCAACGGTAGGCCTTTTTTTTTTTTTTTAAAAGATTTATTTATTTGTACATACAGAACTGGGGTACAGGCCAGAGGCTCAGGGGCGGCGAGAGGCTTCACCAGAGACAGAGTGGGGAGCAGAACAGGCAGATCGACGAAGTACACTGCTGAGGGAAGCAGCGGGCGGGCCAGGAGAGGTCTGCCACACCATGTGGTCACCTCCGGGGCAAGCGGGAATTGAACTCATGTGGAAGTGGCTTTAGCGCCTCAGTGCTGTTCTTTAACTCGCTGCGCCACCAGGGAGGGCCACGGTAGGCCTTTTTTATGGTGGAATCATCCTTCCTTTTCAAGAGGTGTCTGGAGAGGAATTTTTAGGACAGAAGGAATGTGGTAGAGTAGTGGCTAGATAGTAGTTGAGAAGCTGAAGAGGGTCCAGTGGGACCGTTAACTTTATGTGGCAGCTGGACTGGGTTGAGGTTGGCTGATAAAATATTATTTCCAGGGGAGTCTGTGATGGTACTTGGGGAAGAGTTTAGGATTTGAACTGGTTGGTACATTGAGGGGAGAAATCACCAGTGTGGGTGGCTGTCACCCAATATGTGGAGATCCAAGTGGAGCAAAAAAGTGGAGAAGAGCAAATTTGCTCCCTTCTTGAGCAGCAACATCTATCTTCTCTTGCCTGTTGCATCCTCACTCTGGGTTCTTGTGCCCTCACACTTGGGCTGGCTTATACAACTGGCTCCCTGGATCTTTGGCCTTTGGGTTTGGATGAGGACAATGAAGCTGGCTTTTCTGGGCCTCCAGCTTGCAGGTTGGTGCTACTCAGCTTCTATAAACATCTGATCCCTTATAGTTGCCTATTTTCAGCATAGCTCTGTTTCTCTAGAGAACCCTGGCTAAAGCATCAAATTAAGAATAAAGTCCATCCCAGTGCATTGGCCTGCAGCTTGCAAAGCAAGGAGAGGTAGGCAGAATGAAAAGGCAGCTGCAGTGAACTTTCGGGTCTGGCAAACGGAATAAAATCAAGGGAGGGGTGGGAGAGTGAAGAGATGA